GATAACTCACAGCAGTCTTAAAAACACCTTTGTTCTTGGCTGGATGCTATGGCTCATGCCTGTAATCCCAGCACTTTGGGATGCCAAGGCAGGTGGATCACTTGAGGTCAGGGGTTCGAGACCAGCCTGGCCAACAGGGTGAAATCCTGTCTCTACAAAAATTAGCTGGACATGGTAGTGCATGCCTGTAATCCCAGCCACTCAGGAGGCTGAGGTAGGAGAATTTCTTGAACCTGGGAGGCAGAGGTTGCAGTGTGCTGAGATTGTGCCACTGCACTCCAGCCTGGGCAACAAAGTGAGTGAGACTCCATCCCAAAAAACAGAAACAAAAACAAAAACCCACCTTTGTCTTTGAACCATTAAAACAAAAGTGTTTTTAGTATTTCATGACGGTCCAAGAAAAAAGTGCCAGAATAAAATGCATGGTAGTGAATGCTACTGGTGCCCTGATTGGACCCCCTTTACCTAGCAGGTGAACGACATCTCCAGCTGCTATGGTACTGACTGCCAACAACTCATAATTGTCTCCTTCTCCAGATAATTACCCTTGGAAATGTTATCTTGGCCTTCGGTCAATGAATAACTGATATGGTTCATAGAATTTTACTGTGGGTCAACTCTGATGTGTAATTTACACTCCAGAGCTCCCCGTGGGATCACACAGAGGTTTAGATAACTCACTACTCTACCTAACCTCTTCCCTGGCACTACCCTCTTCTTTTACTACCTTATAGGTTTCTTCCAAGAACACTCCTACAATAAGTCAAATACGCAAGGATCTGGGTCTGCTTCTAGGATCCTAACCCTAAGCTTTTACTAAAATGAAATTTCAGCTTCTGAGGGTAGGATGACTCCTGATATCTTTTTGACACATTCGCGGAGGGTTCAAGAGCAAAAGGAATAACACCAGCATTCCCCTTGCCCTACACATTTCCAGACTCATTCTACCTGTGATTCACACTTATTCAACATGATAAGCAGAACAGAAGCCTCAATTTTATTCAAATTAAGTATTTATTTGTGCAGTACATTTTAAGACGGAGTTTCACGCTGTTAGCCAGGCTGGAGTGCAGTGGCACAATCTTGACTCACTGCAGCCTTCACCTTCTGGCTTCAAGTGATTCTCATGCCTCAGCTTCCCAAGTAGCTGGGATTACAGGCACTCACCACCATGTCTGGCTAAGTTTTGTATTTTTAGTAGAGACAGGGTTTCACTATGTTGGCCAGGCTGGTCTCAAACTCCTGACCTCAGGTCATCCACCCACCTCAGCCTCCCAAAGTGCTGTGATTACAGGTGTGAGCCATTGTGCCTGGCCATGTGTGGTACCCATTTTATGCCAGCAATGTGTTAGGAAAGTAGCAATGAATAAAACATAATGTCTGCCCTCAAAAAAAGAAGAGAACAAAGAAATTCCAACTTTTGAGGTTTCTCTTTAGGTAGAACTTAAAGCAAACAAACATCTTGTCCAGTCTCTGCTTTATTTATTTTTTTGAGACAGGGTCTCACTGTATCACCCAGACTGGAGTACAGTGGTGTGATCACAGCTCACTGATGTTTCAACCTTTTGGGCTCAAGCAATTCTCCAGAGTAGCTGGAACTATAGGTGCAAGCCATCACACCAAGCTCCTTTTTTTTTTTTTGGTAGACGTGGGGATCTGTCTATGTTGCCCAGGCTAGTCTTGAACTCCTGGGCTCAAGTGATCCTTTTGCCTCAGCTTCCCAACATGCTGGGATTACAGTTGTGAGCCACCACACCCAGCTGCAGCCTCTGCTTTTGATTTGATCACACTGAAGCAGTAACCCTTTCACCAAATTGAGCTCATATGGAGGAGCAACATTTCATCTTTCCTTCCAGATGATAAGCACATGGTGTCCATAAATCAAGTGAATTCAAACCTCTTCAGTGTCATAGATGAGAGCACTGACAGATGGTTGTTTTCTAAACTCCTTCTCACATGGTTGAGAGAGGGGGATAAATATGTTATTTCATGCTGCTCTTCCTTGGAGCAATGCAATTTTCTGCAGTTTCTTTTCTGCAGCTTGCCTCCTTCTGTGAAAAAGTTTCTCCTCACTTGTTTTTGGAATGTTCCCCCTCTGGACACAGCCTGGCAGAGACTGAGAGAGAACTCTTGGCGTAACACTGCAGTTTTGGTTGCTGGGCAGTTGTGTTGGCCACGTGTCCTCTGTGGGCTCATGCGTGTGTGCATGTTCAGTCCCTATGTGGTGCTGTAAGAGCTTTAAAGTAGGAAGCAAAAGACGCCTTTTTTGAAAATGTCTTCTTATGTTAGTGAATATGTGCCCAGGGTTCATTTTTCTGAGAACTTCATCTCAGAAATAAGAATATATTATTAAAAACTCCTTTAAAAATATAGGTTTCTTTTCAACCCTCTCTTGGCCCCAAGTTTTCTCACTTGTAATATGAAGGAAATGGAAAGGATGAGTTCTCTTGTTCTGTTCATCTATCACATATTCTGATTGCTTTTGCCCTTCTTCCTGGACATACTACATTTAAACACCATTTAAAATAACTTACTGGCTGGGCGCAATGCTCATGCCTATAATCCCAGCGCTTTGAGAGGTTAAGGCATGCCGATTGCTGAAGCCCAGGAGTCCAAGGACGGAACTCTATATTTACAAAACATACAAAAATTAGCCAGGCCTGATAGCACATGCTTGTAGTCCTAGCCATGTGGGAGGCTGAGGTGGGCAGATTGCTTGTACCCAGGAGGTCAAGACTGTGGTGAGTCGTGATTCTGCCACTGTACTCCAGCCTGGGTGACAGAGCAAGACTGTCTCAAAAAAATAAAATAGGTTATTTCAACTTATACCAGTATTCATTTTTATTGGTTAGTTAGCAGATTTAAGGACCTGTGCATGTGTGTGTGTAATGTAATCTGTATCAGGGTTTATCAATACTAATATTTTAGGCTGAAGTGAAAGAAATAAGTAGTATTAAAAATAAAAATGCTAACTTATATATAGAATTGGATAGCAATTAAATAAACAACCCTAAAATCTCAGTGGTTTAATGCAATGAAATGAAATACAATAAAACTTTATTGTTTGTTCACAATCCTGAGCTGTCAGCAAGGGTGGGTGGAGGAATGGGGGGTAGGAAGTCCCTGCTCCACACAGTCGTGTAGAAACTCAGGGTCTTTCCATCTTGGAACACTCTCATCTTCAACATTTGGCCTTTGAAATTGCTTCAGAGTGAGAAGGTGTAGCATCACCCACTAGAAATTTGTATGAGCCACAGCTGAAAGTAGCCCCTTTTCATTGGCCAGAGCTCAACCATGTTGCAAAGAAGCTGCAAAGCATCTAAGCCATGTGCCCAGGGAGGAAAGGAAACCCACGTGCCCAGGGAGGAAAGGAAACCCACAGGTACCGGAGAGCCCATGCATCCTCTGCCTTATCTGGTTTCTAACTTGCTATAGTTATGAAGTTGAGAGCGTGGTGAAGGGCCTTGCTGACCAGTGGTTCTCCTCCACACTCATCCTGCCCCTGCGTATTACTGTTCTTACGCTGCTAATCAAGACATACCCAAGACTGGGTAATTTATAAAGGAAAGAGGTTTAATTGACTTACAGTTTCATATGGCTGGGGAGGCCTCACGATCATGGCAGAAGGCAAAGGAGGAGGAAAGTGGTGTCTTACATGACAACAGGCAAGAGAGTGTGTGCAGGGGAACTCCCATTTATAAAACCATCAGATCTCCTGAGACTTACTCACTATCATGAGAACCTCACGGAAAAGATCCACCCCTATGATTCAATTATCTCTCACTAGGTCCCTCTCATGACATGTGGGAATTATAGAAGCTACAATTTAAGATGAGATTTGGGTGGGGATGCAGCCAAACCGTATCACCCTGTCTTTGTATCACCTCTTGTATTCTCCCAACTCGTACACCATTTCCTTTCTCTCAGCCTTATTACTGCTGTCTTTTATTTGACACCTTGAGGTAGGGAGACAATGTGAGTTGGACAGACATAAAAGATGGATTTTCATGGTAAGATAAGTGGAAAAGATGGCTCACTGGAAAAGTGGCAGGAATCTCTGAAAGGGGATTGGGAGAGTCTGCAAAGATGCCAGGAGAGGTTTCAGTTGGAAAATAATTATTCCAATGGGACACCAAACCCGTGGTGAAAATTCATTTTCTCCCTGTAGTATCAGGTGGTGTTCAGAACAAATTTTATGAAATTTCATGAATACGATAAAAATTTAGATTGAAGATTCTCTCTTAAGTTAACTGCTCCAAAGCAGTTAAGGCCAGCATTCACACTTAAGAGCTATAAACATTTAGGAGTAAGTCATTCCAGCTCTTGCAGTTTTTGAACACTTAACATTAAAAATAACACACATACACATGTGTTCTATAATTTAGGAAGATGTTTTATAAAGAACATCACTTGCTTTCTGCCTTAAATCCTTCCACCAGAGAATAGGGAGCAAGCACTTGCTCATCTGTAAGCCCACGATGACACTCAGAAAATCTGCCCAAGTAGTCAAAGCTCATCATGCCGCAGGAAATCCTCCCAAGTCTCCTGCAGCTTACTCCTGAGGTTGCAGGCTTTCAGATACATCATACTCTTAATGAAAGACATATCCCTCTGATAGGGATTCCCTGCCCAAGACTCCCTTAGGTCGTGAAAGACACTAATTCATCTTTCATCTGGTCATTAATGACCAAGAATGGATCCTTTTCCCATTTGTTTTGCTTAGTTTAGTAAAAGCACCTTTTGGAAGCAGGTTCCTGTTTTGGTTTGTAGGTGGCATTTCTTATACCTAAAATTCTTGCACTGGACAATTTAAAGGAGCCAACAGACACAAACATCTGCTGGTAACAATTTCCATGAAGAGTTTTAAGGCAGTGAATCCTTGGTAGTCCAGGGCAAGCAGCAGGACTTGACCCCCAAACGTGAAAAGGAATTAGACGAGCCCATTCTGAAAGCCACAGAAAGCAACTGCTTAACTGACACACTGTGTTTCTTTTTGTCAGGGCCTCCCAGGAAAGGATGGCTCCTCAGGACCTCCAGGACCACCGGGGCCAATAGTAAGTCTTTTCAGAAACTACTGGGACATACTCTGCTTTAAAGCATTTCATTTCTTTTGAGAGGTTTTCTTTTGCCAGATCTTTTACTCAGTAGCCATATTTACTAGTGTAACAACTCATCCCTTGGTAGAGAACTCTCCCTAAAACTTTTTAAAAAGATAACGTATCCATATTGCCTGATTATTCTATCCTGAGCCATTTTGCCAGAGGATCACCTGCCTTGATTTAGCTTTTATTAAATCACAAGTAAGGCTTGAATTTGAAAAACCACACCTGACCTGTAGTGAGGAGACCAAAAAAAGTCTTCCCTCCATTTTTGGGAATTGAGAAGAGGAATGAGGTCCTGGTGATGAGGGGGAGGGAAGCTATCGTGTTATGTATTTGTTACTCTTGCTTAAAAGTTGGCTGTCATTGATGAGAATTTGTGATTCCTGACTTAGTTCCATTTTCCTTCCTCTCTTCTAGGGCATTCCTGGGGCCCCTGGAGTCCCTGGCATCACAGGAAGCATGGGACCGCAAGGCGCCCTGGGACCACCCGTGAGTATGCAGCAGTAGCCGGTCAGGATGTATGTCCAGTCGTCACGTTTATTTATGTGTTTAAATTTACCAGCATCTCTATTAGTCAGAAATGTGTATTCAGTACTGGATTCCATGGGAATTCGTAAAGGAAATCAGAAAAGCTCCTAGGATAAAGATGAAGATCAGATTGTGCGTATGCCAAGGCTAAAGATAAATGGTCCTAACAGGGAATAATCTGTCATGCTTTTGCTTACGTATGTTTCTATTGCTTGCTATTCTGTATTTGACTAAGTAAACTCAATATTACCTTTCCAGAGATTGGGTACAACAGCTATGTATTAATCAAGCCGGGTTCCCAAAGGGAAAAATATAAAGCTTGGGAAATTCTAGGTTTAACGGGAGTGAGATTAGACTTTTTTCCACATTCCACAAGACAGAATTTCCCATTAAAACACAAACTCACACATAAGTGAGAGGTGTAATAAGTGAAAACACAATGAACAGAACTCATTACCTCTTATTTTTGTACTTCTAGTCTCTTAGGTTGGTGTTTAAATGTGATCAATGGGAGGGGAAGGGATAAGGTGAAAGAAAAACAAATGAGCACATCTGGGCCTGTTTCTTCATCTGTAAAATGAGGTCACTGTATTACATGGCCTCTGGAGACAAGCTTGGCATCTTCTGATGACATGCAAGTTGTTCCTTCTAGGTGTTGCTGTTAGTCACCATTCTGATATTATCTGTGAACTGCTAAGTCTGCATCCATAAACTAAAACATTGAAAATGCAAAGATGTGTATGACTGTAAACACACTAAGAATGTGTGGAGCGGTGAAATCTGATGGATGAGGATGGAAGAGTCTAGTGAATTAGATTCCTATTACCACTTAACAAATTGTCACAATCTCAGTGGCTTAAAACAACACAAATTTGTTATCTTACAGTTCTGCAGGTCAGAAGTCTGGCACGGATCTCACTGAGTTAAAGACAAGGTGTCCATATTTCCCTTCTGGAGGATACAGGAGAGAATCTCTTTTCTTGCCTTTTCTAGCTTCTAAAGGCCTCCCACATTCCTTGGCTTATGGTCAACTTCCATCTTCAAAGCCAGCAATGTTGCATCTCTCTGGCCTTTCTGCCATAGCCACTTCTCTCTGACCACAGCCAGGAAAGTTTCTCTTCGGGACCTATGTGATTACATTCAGGCCACCTGAATCTCCAGTCTCCCTAGATAATTCCCAAACTCTTAACTCAAATTTATAAATCACATTTGCAAAGTCCCTTTTGCCACATAAGGTATCATATTCATAGGTTCTGGGAATTAGGGCATAGAAGTTTGAGGGGCCTTTTTTCTGTCTACGATAGCAAATAATATAGAACAGAAATATTGGTTCTCATTTTGAAAGTGGCCTGTCTTCCTCTAGCAACCCAGAGAGGCTTCTTCCTCTTATTCTTGAAACTCATTTTAATAAAATTATTTCATCCTCAGAATCCTTTTCTGGGCCATGATTCACATGAGACATTTGCAGATCCACAAACCCATACAGGGTATGCACACAAAAAAATACATCTTGATTTTAGCAAAACGTCCTGATTTGCACATTCAAATAAATGTTATTCTTAGTAATCACTTTATACAGCTGTATCTTTATTCCAACTACACTGTCATTCAAAATACTTTTAGATCTCTTCTTTTTATATCAACCTAGTTAATAGGTCACAGAAGAAAATCTGATTGCTTTATCTTCACACATTCCTTTTCTTAGTTCAAAAAGATGTTGCCGAGTATAACCCATCACATAGAAACATACACTGAAACCTACATGTGTGAGCACATGAAAAAATGCATGTACACACACACACACACGCACGCACGTACCCGTCTTCATCATTCTTTCACTGCAAGCTTATCTTGCAGTGAAAAAAGAAGGAGCTATAGAAAAGATTAACTAAATGGCTGAAATTTTTCTAAAAACTGAAAAATATATCAATCTAAATCCAAGAAGCTCCTGAGCCCCCAGAAAGGGTAAATATGGAAAACGACATGTAGAGATACATCATTTCAAACTGAGAAGTAGCTGTGTAAGCCACATCACTTGCACAAATATTCATTTGATTCTAGGCTGTTTCTTACCAGAAGAGAAATTTAAAAACATACTGTCTTCTGTTTGGCTTCAGTCTGCTTCCCAGAATGCGCTCCTGGGAACCAGAGTTTTAAATATATCCACAGTGCCAGACAGCATGGAGTTCTTGTCAAAGAAGTGCCCCTGACATGACCCTAACTAGCTGTGGAAGCCACATGCACAGAAACTGCATGCCTAATCTGTTTCTCATTCATGGGAAGTTTTAGGGCATCAATGGCTTTGAGGCATCCAGAAGTGAAGCTAGAAAACACCCAAAACTAGTTTAATTTGGTTAGACAATAAATATATATGGGCATGCGTTCCTTGTTCTTACTGGCATCTCCTAGAACTAGTTTCTTCTAACCCAGGCTAGGAGAAAACAATCTCTAGACTGATCCTGACCCAAGAGGGATGGAAAGGGGAAGAGGGAAGGAGAGAAGTGCAAGCCCTGAGAGCTTTGAGAGAGTTGACATGGGGTGTGGAGAGCTAGAATGAGACCTGGAATCAGTGAGTAACTGTGATAGCACCCTGCTCACCCACCTGGCCTATGGTGGCTCTGGATTAGACTCTAAATGTAGCATATACAAAAATACTAACAAAATTTTCCCACAAATAAAACTCTTGTTAATAATGTTATTTTTGTTGTAAATCAGCAGAAAGGGGTCCTTGATAGCAGCAGGAGGGGTCTTCGTGCCATTGACACTCTGATCAGAGGCAGAAGCCATTTGGTCTGCAAGCACTGGGTATGGATACCACAGTCGGCTTGGGGATTTCCTCCCAAAAGCAAGTTGCTCTCTGAACTGTCCAGCCCAGACTTTTTTGGGCCTGCTGGCTCCCAGATGCTTGCTGGCTGCCAGACTGGCATGACTGTGACAGCAGGCTCTGTGTCATGGTGTTAAGGCCTTGATTGATTTCCCATGGATGTCTGTCTAGGAAGGCAGGAGGGAAAGGGACCAAGAAGGACAGGCTGCACTGCTGAAAATAGCAACATGTTTCCTACAGTGGGTGCCAGAAACGCCTGCTTTCGTGCATTCTGCCTTCAGCTGCCGGCTCCCTGGGGCAGATTGTACATAGCTGCTAGTATTGGCTTAGGTACGGTTCCTGCCCTGCAGTTGTTAGAGAGTGATAAAACACAGAAAAGAAGGAGCTGCTTACTGCTGGGGCCATGTGTTCAGCCAAGTAGACAGGTCCAGGGTTATATCATTGAAAGATCATTGCATTAGAAGTCAGCATATGTGGGTTCTTGATGCAGCCTTGTCGTGACTCGAAGTAGCTGTGTAAGCCTCATCACTTGCACAAATCATCTAGCCTTTCAGAAGGTCAGTTTCCTAATTCATTCATTTAAAATGTTTAGGGAATGAGCACAACACATATAAGACTACATGGTGGGGAGGGGTCATGAGGGATACAAAAGACATCAAGACACTTTTTGATACATATGAGAACTCTAGAGAGAATGATATTTTTATATAAGAAGCTGTAATAACGGACAGGAAGTGTGAAATGTCAAGAAAAAGGCAAGGAAGTTGCTATGAAAGTTCCATTAAGAGGGAGCCGTGGTGGCTCAGGCCGGTTGTCCTGGCACTTGAGGAGGTGAGGCTACACATTCAAGGCCAGCCTGGGCAACATAAAAACCTCTCATTCATTAAAATGAAATAAATAAATAAATACGGCCGGGTGTGGTGGCTCACGCTTGTAATCCCTGCACTTTGGGAGGCCAAGGCGGGTGGATCACCTGAGATCAGGAGTTCAAGACCAGCCTGGCCAACATGGAGAAACCCCATGTTTCTCCATGAAACATACAAACATACAAACATTAGCCAAGCATGGTAGCACATGCCTGTAATCCCAGCTACTTGGGAGGCGGAGGCAGGAGAATCTCTTAGACCCACGAGGCGGAGGTTGTGGTAAGCCGAGATCACACCATTGCACTCCAGCTTGGACAACAAGAGCAAAACTCTGTCTCAAAAAAAAAGAAAAAGAAAAGAAAAAAGAAAACTCCATTAAGAGAGACCCCTAAGCTGAGGGGTGGGAGTGTCGGCTTCAGATGGAGAGGGCATTTTGATGAGATCTTGGAATTTGGGTAGGATTCCCACCCACAAAGACGGAAAGACTGCCTCACTTAGGTGGCAGTTGCAGAAAAACATAAGGCAAACACAGAGCACTCCGTCTTTGTAAATTTTAATATTTTTCAATTATTTCTCTAGCTCCATCACGACTACCACAGTTTCATTTCAGGCCCTGCTCACTGCTCACAAAGACTATCCCAGGAGGCTGTCATTGGCCCTCGGGCCTCTGCGTTAGCCCTGGTCTAGTCCATTTCCCAGCTGCCAGAACATCTTTTGGTGCAGCTCCTACATGTTACTGCCTGGCTTGAATCACCTCCCTATCCCTGGAGGAAGGAGTCCAATTGTTCAGCACAGCGCTCATGACCCTGTAGGATGGGCCCCTACTTTCCTTTCCAGCTTGCATTGCCTTCCTCCCATCACTTGTTGTTCAGACACACATTATTTAAAATTCCCGAAAGATATGGCATAGCATTTCACACATTTGTCTTTGGGGTTGGAACAACCCATGGGATGCCCTTTGGGATGTTCTTTTGCCTTACTGGGCTGCATTCTTTTTTCACCACCTGTTAAGCTCCCGGCAAATCTTTCTTTAAGGCTGCACACCTCTGGTGTAAAGTCACCCTTCCCTTCACGGCCATTAGGTACTGCATTTCAACTGTTGATGTTTGTCTCTCCATTAAAAGGATAGTTCCTTAAGGGCAGAAATTTTACATACGCCTGCGTAGTGTCCTAGACCCCAGCTCAGTATCTAACACGTAGAGAGTACTTAGTATGTGTTTATTAAAAGAAAAAAAAGAAGGCTGGGTGGGGTGGCTCTTGCCTGTAATCCCAGCACTTTGGGAGGCCAAGACAGGTGAATCACTTGAGGTCAGGAGTTTGAGACCACCCTGGCCAACATGGTGAAACCCCATCACTACTAAAAAAACAAATTAGTCAGGCATGGTGGTGGGTGCTTGTAATCCCACCTACCCAGGAGGCTGAGGCATGAGAATCGCTTAAACCCAGGAGGCAGAGGTTGGAGTGAGCCAAGATCATGCCATTACACTCCGGCCTTGGTGACAGAGCTAGACTCTTGTCTCAAAAGAGAGAAAAGAAAAAGAAAAAAAAAAAAAAAAGAAAGTATGTTTGTATTCTAGTTAGGCTGATATTCAGAGGCATATTGGAAGAATATTCTTATAGATGAGGGGTCAGGTCATGGAAGACCTTTCAAGCAAGCCTGAGATGTTTTGATTTTGTTTAATAGACATCTTTAATATGTAGGATTTGAACCACAAAATCATTCCTCTTCCTTCCAGCACTAAAATTCGGTGAATCTATGAATGTAGCTACTGTATTTTCTTTTCTTTACATTTCAAGTTCTCCTAAAATTAAAGGAAAATGTGCCACTTTTTCCTGCCTACATCTGCAGGGAATATGTGTTTTCCCTCAAGCCATACTTTGGTGGAGTTATGCCTTCACTTACTCAGGAATTTTTATTTTGTTTTTGTTTTACTTTGTAAAAATCAAAGAAGCGATGTCAGAGAAGCTGGAATAAAAAATAATTTCTTGCCATACATATATTTCATTAAAAAGATCTTTCACTGAGACTGCCTGGCTGCGTCCTTTGGCTGTTTAATAATCAGCACCAGGAGACTGAGTTTGAGGAATTTCAAACCCAGTTAAACACACCCATCCCGACATTCCAAAAGGTGCCAACAGCCGATGCTCTCCATTTGCCTTGTCAATCAGGTTTGCACTATAATTGTGTTCTCTAGATTTGAAACATTTTTAAACAAGCCAGTTTAATAAACGATAGCAAGAATAGCCAGAAAAATGTCAAAAAATGTATTGGTGCAGAAATAAAATTATTCAAGATAAAATGGATTTTTAAAAATGACTCAAGTTGCAACCTAATTCCGAATTACCAGAGTTAGGCTTTAGGTATGGTATGTTTGCTTGTTTTGCTTCATTTTAATTGAGAAAATATTATCTTCCCCGGAATAGAAGGTATGGGCTGGCAGAACTGCTGAGCAGGGTTCTCTTTCAACAGAGTGATAGAGTATTCTCAGGTTGTGTATGGATTCTGGAGGCCACAGTTTGGGTTCAGGTCCCCAGCTTTTTCATTTCCTTATTGCATGGCTTTGAGCAAAGTGAGATGACCTTAGTGCATTATTTTCCATATCTGAAAAATGGGGATAATATAGGGTTGTTATAAAGAATGAGTTGGCTGGGTGTGGTGGCTCACGTCTGTAATCCCAGCACTTTGGGAGGCCAAGGTGGGAGGATCACGATGTCAGGTGTTCAAGACCAGCCTGACCAACATGGTAAAACACCATCTCTACTAAAAATATAAATATTAGCTGAGTGTGGTGGCACGTGCCTGTAACCCCAGCTACTCAGGAGGCTGAGGCAGGAGAATCACTTGAACCTGGTAGGCGGAGGTTGTGCTGAGCCAAGATCGCACCACTGCACTCCAGCCTGGGCGACAGAGCAAGACTCCATCTAAAAAATAATAATAATAAAAATAAATGAGTTAATCTTATAGGAGTATTGTAAGCATTAAATAAGTTAATATTATAGGACTGTCATAAGAATTGAATGAATTAATCCTGCAGAGCTGTTATAAGGGTTAACTCCATTAACATGTTAAGGGCAACAAGGACAGTGCTTGGAACATGGTAAGCAGCCTACGTATTGGCTACTAGTATTTACAGTGTCTTAATGTATTAAAATATGGAATATGTATTGCTTGCAGATTTTTATTTTTGTTTTACCTGTAGTACTTGAAAAGCTGTTTCCATTAAGGATTATTTAGTGATAAGATGCTAGTTCTTTTTGCCAGTTGGTCCTACCAGTACACATTAATGTCTCTTTAGAGCTCTGTCCGTTTGTGAAGCCTAAGGAATGAGGGAAGAAGGCACAGCCAGTACATTTATTTCCAAAAATAATTTGGGCTGGGGCAGGGGTGTGCTATGTAAATCTTACTTTTGCAAAAAGTTTTTATAATAGAACTGGGAACTCTCTTTTTTTAATAGAATCAACTCTTTTTCTAATACTTTTAAAGCCCACTGCCTGAGTGTGTCATAAATAGTTGCCTTCTTTTTTTTTTTTTTTTTTCTGTCACCAATGCTGGGGTGCCGTGGCACAATCTTGGTCACTGCAATCTCAGCCTCTTGGGGTCAAACTGTTCTCCTGCCTCAATTTCCCGAGTAGCTGGGACTACAGGCGCACACCACCACTCCTGGCTAATTTTTGTATTTTTAGTAGAGACGGGATTTCACCACATTGATCAGGCTGGTCTTGAACTCCTGACCTCGTGATCCACCCACCTCAACCTCCCAAAGTGCTAGGATTACAGGGGTGAGTCACTGCCCCCCACCCCCTGCCATATTCTGTCTTTTTTACAATCAAGGTAGTTAACATGAAACACAAATTGGCTTGCCATTCAAACTTAAAGTGAAATTCATTCAATGAACATGTGGTTTTTGAACATTTGCCACTCCCATGCACAGTCCTAGGACCTGAGGATACAGAAGTCTACAAGCTAGACACAGATTCTGCCTCATGAAACTCACATAAGAGGTCACAAATTGTGAGGATCTTCTTTCTCTGTAGAGGTTGGAATTCTTCCCTCAGAAGCCCAGCCTTTGTATTTTTCATCTATTTCTGTTTCTTATGCTCCCTTCTTCCTAATAATGACCATATCATGAAAGAATAATGTGTTAGACTGATAAGGGACCCCAGAGATCACTTCATTTAATGGTCTTATCTTACAAAGAGACTCAGAGTTAACCCAGTTTGCAGGTCCAATGTCCTACATTTTTTCCAAAGTATTAGCATTAAAAAATATATTACACACATAATCGAAAGAATTTTGAGTGAACACCACACCTATATACCTAACACTAAGATTCTACCATTATGTTTAAATTTTAAAAAGTGTCAGCCTGGCATGGTGGCTCACTCCTGTAATCCTAGCACTTCGGGAGGCTGAAGTGGTGAATCACTTGAGGTCAAGAGTTTGAAACCAGCCTGACCAACATGGTGAAACCCCATCTCTACTAAAAATTAGCTGGATGTGGTGGCGCATGCCTGTAGTCCCAGCTGCTCAGGAGGCTGAGGCAGGAGAATCAGTTGAACCTGGGAGGTGGAGGTTGCAGTGAGCAGAGATTGTACCACTGCACTCCTTTCTGGGAGACAGAGAGAGACTCCATCTTTAAAAAAAAAAAAAAAAGTGTGTGTGGGTGTGTGTATGTTTGTGTGTGGATGTGTATGTGTGTGTGTGCATTGAATAGACATGGCAGGGCAAGGGAGGAGTAGAAAAAAGATCAAACCAGGGTAGGGTGCTTGTATCTGCACAGGAGAGTCAGTCCTGCATTTCTCTTCCCTTCCCAATTCCGTCTTTGGTGACAGCACATTTACAACTTGAAATTAGCTGTGACAGAAGCACTTACACCTCCAAAATCAGCAAACACTACAAGTCAGGGCATTTTCTTTTTCTGGGAAGCCAGGTTACCTGAACACCATGGGGTAAAACCAGAAGTTTGAATGTATGAAACTGTTCACTGACTGGAGATTTTGAAGAAGATACTGAATTTGGCCTGGGACCTGTTGAGGTTGAAATAACAACTGGAAACAGTCTGACAATGTGGCAAATTCCATTAATTCCATTCACTCTCCTTTTAGTCGAGACTATAAAAATGTTGTTCAATGAATATTGCCTCGGAGTTGAAACAAAAATATGAAATCCTTCTGAAGACACATGCTTTTCATTATATGTGTAATTTCATTGGACAAACCCTGAAAATGCCATTTTTAAAGTAGATGCATTTTAATAATGGCAAGGTTTCTTATGGGTCAAAGAGTAGCTAAGCCACATAATAAAATAATAAATCAGTTGAGAATTCACATAAATGTGAGCTTCCAAACTGGGGAGAATTGGGTGGCATCGTGCTGGATAGAAATTAGAGTGAAGCTGTAGGATTTCACTAATCTCGTCTCTGACTTTAACTTCTAAATTAAGAGGAGATCTTTTCCATCCTTTTGGAGATACTTCTTTAAAAGCTGAAACAATTTAACTATTCAGCAGAGACTTGTGCAATAAATCATGAAGGCTCCTCAGTAGTAGTACAAAGGGTGGTGTTTAGGATGGAAAGCTACAAAGGACCTACTCAGTGAAAATAACGTGTTACAAAGCAGTATTATTGCTGCACAATTCCAATTTTGTGGCCAAAACATACCATGCCTCTACATAAAAAAGCTGAAAGAGTAGAATGCTCAACCGAGCTTTTTATGTTTGGTGTGCTTACTGGTTGCTGTCTGTTTTTGTTGTTGTGTGACGATTTTTGCTGCAGAATTACTGGCTCTAAGAAAAATGTCTTAACAAAATAAGAAAAGATGCACGATTATCAAGCTTAGCTAAGTGGAATATCATAAGTAACTTGAACAATTTTCCATTTTTACAGGGTGTCCCTGGAGCGAAGGGGGAGCGAGGAGAACGGGTAAGTGTCCTGTGGCTGTTTACTGGCCCCAGCTGGTTGCACCCCTTCCATTGCATAAGCCTGATAATGAAGGGTCATTTATTACCATTATTATTCATTGCTATTATACCAGCCCCTGTTTCTCCCTTTTCCCAATTCAGTTGACTCTGAGTACATTTTCCAGAGGTAAAATCCCTGTGGGATGGAAGTTGGGAGAGCTAGTTTCTAGTTGCATATCTGCAACCATCCAGGTCAATCAACTTGGGCTCATTTCTTTAAGGATAAAATGGGGATAATCACTCATATAATTTACACAGTGAGTTTGATGAGAACATTATATAATAGATGTGAAAAGCCTTCAGAAAAGTCAAAACTCTAGACAAGTGACAAGTGGCAGCATGGGGCTCCTGGGTTTCTTGATGCTCCAGGGTTCACAGGAAGACAATGGCAGGCATAGAATCAAAGAACTGGCCCCAAGACTGAACTCAGTTTAATTTAGGGTTCATCTCTCTCCTTTCAGAAATTGTACAACTGCTAATATAATTATGCCATTGGCTGTAGCAGAAACAGCAGTGGCCTTGGGCTCATCTGATTACTTCTGTGAAACCTTGGGCTGTGTGTTTAAGGCTATTCAGCTATAAAATTGGTTTAACATCTTTCCTCTGGGTTGCTATTAGTATTACATAAGCCACTGCTTGAGAAAGTGCTGTATTTTATAAGTGCTAAAGGACTATAAATAAGGCATTAGATATATACGGGTTTGTTTCAAAACTATTAAATTTTTTAGAATGTGGGACCAGAAATACTTACATGTGCTTGTTAATCTAATAAGGACTCCCAGAAACCTTGAACCATGAATGTCAAATTGCTTACTCCTTCTCTGCATGCACCATGGTGGTCAAACCCACCTGTTGCTAGGAGCCAAAGAACCCTGATGGGAACAGTGGGGCTAGACAGATCCATATCCTTGAAGTCCTGATAGTTGGCTGGGCTTGTAGCTGAGTCAGGAGTGTGCTTTTCCTTTCATTCAGGGTGACCTGCAGTCTCAAGCCATGGTGAGATCAGTGGCACGTCAAGTATGTGAACAGCTCATCCAGAGTAAGTATATAATGGTTACAGAGGTTGTTCCCCATAACACTCATCCAAAAGAGAGTTTACTTTTCCCATGAGTGTACCACTAAGGAAGACTCCTTTAAAGTATTGTCTTGGTGCATACACATAAGCTTTACAGGTGACCAGCACTGATCCATCAAAGAGATCATTACAGATTACCCTAGAGCTCTACATCGATGGTACAAAAACCAAATTCCTTTGTGTCATTGGCCCGAGAACTGCCTGTTTGCCATGTAAATTTAACTTGACTGCCCAGATCAAACCATCTATTCCTTTCTAGTCTCTCCAGGTGGGTAGGATTTTTTTTTCAAGTGTTCAGCACTTGAGAGCTGCTGGACTACATCCTCAGAAGCTACCTCAGAAAGACCATGTATGGTGTTGATTTTTATGAACTTGCAAGATTGAAATGAATATTTCCTTATCCATTTCACATCTGTTACCTTCTGGTTAGCCTAAGGTCTTCTCCTTCATTTCTTAGGATGTTTGCCAAAGTATAAACACACACATGAACAGGCTTGCTCTGACGTTTGATATGATAATATACTTGGGTTTTGTGCCAAAAGTGACATCAGAACAAACTTGATATGATGCCTGTTCCATTTCTTCATTTCACTTGAGCTTTTTGATAGCACTGTATTTCAGTGCCCATTTGCTTAGATACTTTTGCACGTTTCCCCTCTGCCCACTGATTATACGTTTTATCTCAGTAATCTAACCAGAGGGTTACTAGTGTAGGCCTTTCTCTTTGCCAGTAATTTGTTCAGTTCCAGGAAGGTCTGAGGCCAAGTAGAGGTGAACTATCTCCCTCAACCCCACCCAGTTCTAGCCCAGCTCTGCTGTCCAGCCCTCCCACCCAACAGCACCCCCATCTCCAGGGCTGACATTACCCAAGTGGCCACCTCATTGGCTTGGGTTATATTTATTTTAACTCAGAAAGTTTGGGAGTTAGGCCAGGAAGCCCTTTAAATGTCTAAGAAAGCTCTGTTGGCTAAGTCCAAAATTCCATCTTTAGTTCTGAGATAAATCCAAATCTCACCCTGGAGGAGGCATGGAGTTGAGATCTGCATAGGTTTGGAGGAGTTTTCATGAAGGCAAAAACATCAGGGCAAATGGAGTGTGAAGCTGCCAACTTCAGACACAGTAGTCATGCTCCCTATATTTTAACATTATTTAATTTTCTCTTCTATTGCCCAAACTATGTGTGTGTCTGTGAGAGAATTTACCAGTTAAATATAACTGTTCAAGTTTAATGCCAAAATAGGATCTTTAAAAATACATTATAAAAGAAAAATTGAATATTAATCATTTTGTACTAACATCTTGTAAATAACCTGTATCTTAAATTGCTTTGTAGATTTCTGATTTCAAGTTACAGTGTAAATGAGCAGATCAATATTTCCATGAAACTTAAGGCTTAAATCTTACTATGACTCACTGACCACAACACAAGAAAGGTTTCACAATATTTGCTGTTTTATTCTACTGTAGAATAAAAATCATGTGTAAATATCTGATTATTTAAAGCATGCCCTAAAAATCAAGGGTTCAAAATCTACTTTTTCTCTTTACAAATTCTCAGAGTCTTGTGATTGACTTCTAGGAAGTAGAAGTCAGCAAGGAACTGGTTACACAGCAAAGCTTAAACAAGTCTATAAAATAGCAAGGCTCTGCCCATCAATATACTAGAAGAAAATCAAAAAGATTGTATGCAACTTGATAAGCCAGTCCCAACCTAGTCAGAGGCTGTATTTCTGGCACCTCAACCATCTTCCCAAACACGACTTCAGTTCCTTCTGGGCTCCTTATTTTATTCCTTCAGCTGCCACTCAGAACTAGATTTATCTGTTGGCATATAATTCCTCACAAGCTTACGTATCTGGTTTTTTGTTCACAGTTGATCAGAAGAATTATGCTAGGAAGGGTTACATGGGAAATTATGCAAGGCCAAAGTGATGACAGCTGGGAAAATGATAATGGACAGGCTCCTTGTCAAAGGTGGAAGCTGAAAAAGCAAATGAGGAAATGTCTTACCCGCCCAGGCAACAATGGAAGTGCCTACTAATAGCCTTGAGTCATCAGGAAATGGGGATCCCTAGTTACAGACACAATCCAATGCTTAAGGAAAGTATGCACTGAATGTATTTTAGAGTGAATTCATTGAAAAAAATGGTGACTATTTTGTATTTAGTTTTAAATGTTTCAAAAGGAATAAATAATAGTAAACTAGAAAATTCACTTATGTTGGAAAATCTCATCTAATGACACTGGAAAAATGAGACATCATGGTATTAAGTACTTTGTACTTCTAATTAGTGATATATATCTATATATATTTTCCAGGCATAATTGAGTTAAGGGATTATTGGAGAGAGTACCAGATTTTTTAAAAATATAAAGTTAGTGGGAGTTTCTGCAGCTGGGACCCAAGTAAAGGCTCCTAAAAAAAGGCTTGACAACCAACAGATGAGTTGAGACAAAGCACTTGTCTGGGGATTTATGAGCAAGAGGGTGGGGAGGCTTTGTGTGTTGTAGAAAAGACAAATAACTTGGGGAGTAATTGCTAGAAAAAAGGCAGCTGGGTGAGGGTCTAGGGGTCAGATAAATGTTGAGGGTGAAGATGAAATTTACGACTTCTTCTCAATGATGTTTATTGAGATGCTGGTGTGAGCTGCGGAATTCCAAACACATGAGATGCCACTTGACATCAGTCCAGCCCTTAATATCATCCAGAGTAAAACATAAAAAATGTTAAGCTGGAAATTAACATATTTCAAAGGGGTGTGATTTTTCCCTTGGTGGTATCTGACAGAATTGTTTGGAGCCTTAATGAGTGACATCCCTGGACCTCTCTTTCCTTGTGTCACACTTTACTGAATGTTGTCTGTATGCTTCATGCCTTAGGTCACATGGCCAGGTACACTGCCATCCTCAACCAGATTCCCAGCCACTCCTCCTCCACCCGGACCGTCCAAGGGCCTCCTGGGGAGCCTGGGAGACCAGGTGCACCTGGAGCCCCTGGTGAACAAGGACCCCCAGGCACACCAGGCTTCCCCGGAAATGCAGGCCTGCCAGGGACCCCAGGAGAACGAGGTAAGCTGGGTCCCTTCCCTCAGAGGAACTCTTCTGAGGTGGGTGCAGGGAAGCAGAACATTTCAACGATGCTTATACAAGGATAAAGTCTGAAACAATGGACCTAAATGAACTCTGCCCCATCTATTCTCAGTTTCTTGTTTATTTATCTCTGAGATTGAGAAAATTGAATGATCTGCTCAGTGTTTATCAAGAGCCACATTTACTTGTATGAAAGAGGAGGGTGAGAACCCCCAAATCACCTCTGAGAGGCATGTGAGCTAGTAAAAGATATCCACTCTAGGTGGATGAAGTCAAAAAGGGTGCCCTTTCCAGGTTGAAGAATTAGAAAATGATGCCACCCTCTGACCAAACAGAGCATTACACAAATGTCAAGGCAAGCGGAGAACTCACTCTGGTGGTTCTCTGGTGCTTTATTTGTGCAGTGCCCAGCCTGGGCAATAGTCAGTGGCAGTCCTGAGAGGAGTCATGAACTGTGAACCAGTATATCGTTCACATATTCCTGTATAGACCGTGTCAGCTCTAAACTTCAAATTAAAATACTGTCTGTGGCTCATCTTCCTATTGTATCAGGCAACATTTTGTTTAATAGTTCATGGGCCAATGTTTTGTCTTTCCCACTAAAGTTTCATTAAAATAGAGATTCTACTTAGCCTTTTCTTCTATCATCTAAAGGTCTTAGAAATATTGTATAATACAAATAAGACTCTTTTGACTGAATCTACAGTTGACCAAGATCTCCCATTCCAGAAGCAGGTAAAGGTGTGAGAAGGTCAGGGTTGCATATTAACCATGAAGAAAATGATGGAAAAGAGAAATAACTGATCATTTTCTAAAACACAATTTGTAGCACATAGCCTTGGGGAAAAGCTAACTTTTACCTGTCTGCTCTGTGAGGCATATTCGTTTTGCGGGATGGGTAGGATATATTCCTTTTATAAAATTTGATTTAAAATACAGATTACAAAAACAGTATTTCGTATTTATTTTGACTCATGCCAGCAGGCCTTGTGCATTTCTGCCTCTGCACTTTCGTACACATTGTTTTCCCTCTTTGGAAATGTCCTTTCCTTCCTTTGTCTTCTATACCTCTTTCTCTTAGTTCAAGGCTCAGCCGTCTCATGCATGAAATTGTTATTGATCACTCTAGAACCCAAATGTCTCCACCCCCATGAATACCTGATGCCCTTACTGTCTTTTCTTTCTGTTTTAGCACTAATAAGGCCTTAGCAAACAGCTGAATTGCTTTGCACAATGCTTTGCACTTAATAGGTGCTTACTAGATAGTTGTTGCTTTAATTGTGACCCAGTTCTGATTTTTTTTTTCTGAAAGCTTTTCCCTATGTCAGGGCACAAAATCAGCAGATATAGAAAACAGCATAATTCTCTCTCCCTCTTGCTCTTCCTCTTTCTTCCTCTCCTTCATTCTTTTTTTTTCTTTTTTTCTTTCTTTAAAACAAAAAGAAAAAAGAAAATGGCATAATTCCCTCACAATACAACAAAGATCTGGCAGCCTGTAGTGTGGCCCCCTCTGTCATCAGGGCATCCTCTAATGGTGTCGGTAATGAAGTAACTGTGACTCAGTGAGCACAAAGCCAGCACCTGAGTCACTCCCAGCAAGTCATAAGTTCTCTTTGTTCTTTCTGGGAGTCTTAGCCCCACTCTTGCCAGACTGAGTCTCTCCTGCTCTGCAAATATGCTTGAATAATTAGACCACAGAAAAATAATCCAAAGGTTCTCGAAGGGCAGCCCAGACAACCTTTGGAAATACCAATTTCCATGACATAATTTTCTTTGCATACATACTGATGTATATTCTAAGGAGTACAGTAGACAAACAGCATCCTGTATTTCACAAAGGCATGAACGATGACAGTAAGACAGAAAGTGAGAAATGACATTTGAGCATGAAGAAAGGTGATTTGAGATGATCACCACTTGAAGGGCGTGATTTGGGGATTACTATTATAGGTCAGGGCTTGCAGGCCAGCATCCAAGGGGCTCTTCATTCCTGGCAAAGTTATTTCCGCCTCAACTGGGATTCGCTGCTGCAAGGTAGGCAGTGACATTTGGTTCTTAGCCTTGGATCCAAATACCCAGGAAGGATTAAGAGAGGAAAGATCTGTCTTTCCACTAAGTCAAAACAACAAAATTTAAAAACTGAAGTCTTCGGCTGTCTTTTCTCTTTCGCATTTTCTGTAAAAGGAAGCATATGAAGATATTGAGGTAAGGCCCAAAAGACTCAAAGTCAGCCACCATCAAGACTTGAAATAAGAGCCAGAGACTGGTTTTTTTCTGCTGTATAAAATATGATTATCATCATTCTTGATAAAACAGTGTTATAAGGACACAATATTGTAATAAGTAAAAATAAGAACGATTATTAGGCAGTGTAATAAATGCCTAAGCACATAATAAACTACAAAAGCAACATTATGAGAAATATGGCTGTGGAGTGTTCTGGCGTGAACACTGAAAAGAGGCTCACTTTCTGCATAGACTTCCTGTGAGCCTCATAAGAGTCTTCCTAAAAAAAAAATTAACTACTGGGTATCTACCCAGAGGAAAAGAAGTCATTATACAAAAAGATACTTGCACACACTTGTTTATAGCAACACAATTTGCAAGTGCAAAAACGTGGAACCATCCCAAATGCCCATCAGTCAACAAGCGGATAAAGAAACTGTGGCATAGATGGATGATGGAATACCGCTCAGCCATAAAAGAATGAATTAATGGCATTTGCTGTGACCTGGATGAGATTCGAGACTAGTATTCTAAGTGAAGTAACCCAGGAATGGAAAACCAAACATTGTATGTTCTCACTCATAAGTGGGGGCTAAGGTATGAGAATGCAAAGGCATAAGAATGACACAGTGGACTTTGGGGACTCGGGGGAAAAGAGTGGGAAGGGGCTGAGATGTAAGACTACAAATAGGGTATAGTGTTTGTATATTATAAAATATATAATATACAAATTTATATATATTTTGTATATTACATATTTTACAATATATAAATTATATATTTATGGGAAATGGGTGCACCAATATCTCACAAATGATCACTGAAGAACTTACTCATGTAACCAAATACCACCTGTTCCCCAATAACCTATGGAAACCAAAACATTTTTTTAAATTCACAACTCCATTCAGTTTGGATAATTTTTCATCAGAAGTGCCCACTCTGACTTTTCTATTCTGGCTTTTCAAACTTTTAAAAATGTGATACACAGTTAAAAAAAAATACATTTAACAGCATGATGCAATATTGCTTATACATGTACATGAATGCAAATGTATATAACTGGGCAAAAGAAATTATTCTTACCCTTCCTGTTATTTCCTGTTTATTTTTCTTTTGCTAAAAGAATGAGGAGAGACCTTGGGTTTCATGACCTTAGTTTGAAAAGCATTATCCCCATACAATATCTTTAGTTAACCCCATCTTTATCAGGGAAATAGCAAAGAATATGCACTTTTAGAGAACAGAAGAAAAATTATGGATATTCCTTTCATATTAGCAATGTGATGTACATGGCTTTTCGCGACTTAACTATCTAAAAGAAGATGCACGTTCACTCTATCTGCTGTCTGTCTCTCTCTTCATTAACGCTTTGTCTCCTTTAAAGGCTTTTTCATAAGTTTGTGTGGAACAGTTTTTAGCTGTCCTCTGATACAGATTGTAATAGACAATTCTTAGAATTGAAGGATTCAAAGGGATTCTGTGTCTAATGTTGTTCAAGTTTTCTATCTGAAGCTTGAACTCCCACTTGGATTTGTCTAATTATTGGCACCTACCACTGAAGAGTCCTCATTTGTGTAACATCATGCTTTATATTAAGCAGCCTGATTTCTCACCTGCTTTTCCATCACTTGTTCTTTCTCTGTTATTATGTCAAAGAAAAGCTATTTTTCCATGGGATTCTAGTTGGTTGCCTCTCCCCATTAAACCTCGTACTGTCTTCATGAAAATTGTTCTGTATAACCTGGCTTCTCATTATCCCAAAATTTGGAAGAAAGGATCAGCTCTGAGGTTCCTCTTTTGATAACTGAACCATGACAATCCAATGCTTTACTGGACAATCCAGTGATTGACTACTATGTGTCAGTCGCTATTCTGACCTCAGCTCACTCTCCAGTCACAGCCGTGGGTGATTCCAACCAGATTTCTGCAATTACAGATCATTTTCTATTTCTGCCCTCTGCATGTCGTTCCCAGATGATTCATCTGTTTTTGTTTACTCAATTTATTTAAATGTTCATTCTCTACACTGGTATCTTGATCCATACATTAAACAAGTCATCAATAAGTTTGTTGGTTTATAGTTCACATAATTAAGTTTATTTACTTGAAAATTTTCCTGATTTCAGTTTTTTTTTTTTTTTT